TTACACTATGGTTCATTAATTAACTTTTGTTTTTACTGATTTTTATCTTCTTCCCCATTTTACTATGTTAATTTGTCTTGGCTTTTTTTTTAACTTTTCGTCTAATTTTTCTCTTCCTTGTTCTTTTTTTTGTGTGTGGTGTCCTGTTTTTTTTCTTCCTCAGACCTATTTCTTTCTTGTGACTTCATCTCATACACTTAGATGTAGGACGCGTCCGTTCCTCGCCCAGTGGTCTGGTGCCTAATGCTTCGCTGACACGTCTCTCCCTCGGCCTCTGTGCCGACTGCTCCACGCTTCCTGTTTGTTAAGAATCTTTCTGTGACTTCTGACAACTATGTGACCTTTCCGTTCGACTGCATTCACCTTTTTTTTGCTGGTGTCAGTTTTTGTTTAGACTTAGCTGCTTTCTTGTTTAAGAATTCTTTACGCTTTTGATTTTGTCCTTACATTTCTCTCTTCTTTGTCCCTCTCCTTCCTTAAAACTGTCTCCCCTTCCATGTTCTTGGCAGACTTGTCAATGCCTCCGCCCAATTTGACTCACACACAGGACGAGCCGCCCGGGGCACTTTTTATGGTTCCGCTCTTCCGCACGCCGCCCTGCGGACTCCGGGTCTCCGCGTGCCTTGGGTGTCCCCCCCAGTGGTATGCGTTGATCGTGCGACTCCAAGAACCTGTCTGTCCACCCACCTTACTCTTGTCTACCACTCAAAGTCGTACATTAGAGCAGACTTAGCGGCGCATGTGTGCGCTAGATTTGTGTGAGGAGGCTATAGGAGAGACACAGATGGTGATCTTTGCTGAAAAGCACGTGGGATTGTGAAAACGTACTACTTACTTATTGTTTGCATGTCTTTAGGCCAGAAAGAAACGAAAGAGATAGGGTTGTCTCTTGAGGAAGTGAAACATTCATTGGAGGGAATAATACGAACACCACTAAGGCAGATTTTGGGTTACGTCGCCAGTTGCTATACACTACAAATGTGATTTTTAATGATACAGTCAGACCAGTTTCTTCTTCCAGCAAAACCGCCGCTCGAACCTTCCCTGTTTGTTATGTGGATAATCGAGCATTGCTAGATCCTGCACTATAAAGAACATCAGAGGCATAACTGGGAACAAGCGCATATGATTATGTAAATATACATATATAATGTTTATATTTAATCAGACTTTATTTTTATGCAAACTTGAAAGTCATTTTGAAGATCAGAACTACGAGATAGTATGTGCTGGTTATTTGTAATACATATATTGTATTTTTTATATACATAATGGTTACATGTCCACACATTTAATGGTCCCTTGAATTGCAGGTTCAACAGAAAACCACGTCGTGGCCTTGCCTTTCTGCAGGCCCAGGGGCTCTTAGGTCCATCACCTGAAGACCTTGCCAAATTCTTCCATGATGATGACAGACTGGATAAGACCCAAGTTGGTGATTTTCTTGGTGATCCAGATCCAGTCAACAGAGAGGTAAGGCAGATTACCCAGGACAGTTTGTTTTTTTCCCTCTCATTTTTTCAGGTGTAAGATTTGAAGTTCTATTATTGACAACCAGTTATCAGCCATTCACTGCTTTTATTGTTCTTCAGTGTAAGGCAAAACTAACTCTCTTGAACTGATTAATTATGACATAAGAGAATGTAAGAATAAATAATGTAATTGTTGTAATAGTTGTAATGTATTATTTATTTTTTATCCATAGGTTATGTGTGCCTATATCGATCAAATGGATTTTCATGAGCGTGATTTTGTTCCTGCCTTAAGAATGTTTCTTGAAGGTTTCCGGTTACCTGGGGAAGCCCAAAAAATTGATAGACTGATGGAGAAATTTGCTTCCAGATATTGTGAATGCAATGCAAAGTAAGAGAGATAGAATTGATTATTTTTATTTGTATCAGTATTGCTAAATATTTTGATGGAACTACCTTCTGAGGAAGCAGTTAATAATATCTTTAGTGCTTATAGAGCTACAAACTCTACTTTCATTTTTGCATATTAGCTAAATTATGAAAATGTTCTTACTGTTATGAATAATTTGGTACAAGTATTTGGCAGTGTTTGATGATTAGATATTTCTTAGACTGCTAACAAATCTCTTTTAAAGGGAGTACTGATATTTCTTTTTCTTTGCAGTCTTGGTTTGTTTGCAAGTGCAGACACAGCTTATGTGTTAGCATACTCCATCATCATGCTCACCACTGACCTGCATAGTACACAGGTCAAGGTTAGTGAATAGGCTCTTTTTGTGACAGTAGATTTTTATCTACTTTCATAAAAGAGCCTTATCATGTTAAAGATGGTCATATTTTATACTGGCTCTTATGTATAAAGGTAGATTTTTTTTACATTTATTATTTGATTAGATATTTTATTAAATGAAATAATGTTCTGTATGATACAGCAAAAGATGACCAAAGAGCAGTATATCAAGATGAACCGTGGCATCAATGATTCCAAGGATCTACCTGAAGAATACCTCTCCAGCATCTATGATGAAATTGCTGGGAATGAAATTAAAATGAAGGCTACATCCACCAAACTTGGGAAGCAAGGTGGGACATTTTTGAGTTTCTTTTTCAAAGAAATTTTTATGGGATAGACAATGTTTTTATCTGTCAAAAACTCCTATATACAAAGAATTCTAACTGAAGTTGAATTTGAAAACTGTAAAGAAACAGCATCAGTGTGATACAGTGTTTAGTGTTTAATGATTATGCATTTACAGCTGTTGCAAATGAGAAAAAACGAAAGTTGCTTTTCAACCTGGAGATGGAAACAATATCAGGGACAGCCAAATCACTTATGGAAGCAGCTTCTCATGTTGATGCTACCTTTACCCTTGCGACTCATGTAGAACACGTCCGCCCGATGTTTAAGGTAAAGAATCAGATTTGTAAGAAAAAGGAGAGTGAGTTTAACTGGATGTTAACGCTTGTAGAAAAGCTATGAATGAGAATGAATATCTTCAGAGTGCAAGTGATTTATTTGACTGGTTTCAATTAGATCTTTGTTAGAAATATATTTCTCGCTCAATGAGGAAATTCCTTCTCATTCATAGCTTTTCTACATTAGTTGCAATGGATGTTATCCTGTTGCATCTCAGTGCCTTGCTGCCCTGACATGGCCTAAATATGGGCATTAGACTTAATCGAGTGGCATCTCTCCCAGGTGTGTGGCCTGGCCCACATGAATACTTGTGTGTGGTGTCTGAGACTCCTTGCTTCCCCTTTGCAATGTTATTAACTCTTATTTTTGCTCTTTTGCCATTTCTCAAAGGCTGTATTTGTAATTGACATTTTATATCAAGATTATTTATGCCAGGTCTCTTACCCCCTATGTGTGTAGAATAGTAAGGGCCTTGTGTCTAGGAATGGTTTATTGAATTGCATACTGTCAGAGGTATATGTGTAATTTGTAATGAGTATAGCAATATTGTAGAAAAAAATCTTTGAATGATAATAAACATTTCCTTTTAAAAGGTCTGCAAGTTTGTGCTTATGGTACTCCCATGATTACTCAGAGATGGCAGATGCAGATACTTAACACGCATACTTGTTCTCATGTACAGATGGCGTGGACCCCCTTCCTCGCTGCATTCTCAGTTGGTTTGCAAGACTGTGATGATGCTGAAGTAGCCTCCCTTTGCCTGGATGGTCTGCGATGTGCCATCAGAATCACCTGCATATTCCACATGACTGTAAAGACTGCAGTGTTTGTGAAAGTGAAAAATCTGAATGATATATTGTAAATGTTGAGAGTGAAATTTTTGTTTTTCCTTTTTATTTTGTATATTGTGAATTGGTATTTAAAATTTTTCCTGATCACCTCTTCCTTCAGCTTGAGAGAGATGCCTTTGTGCAGTGCCTGGCCCGCTTCACACTCCTCACTGCCAACTCTCCACTTACAGAGATGAAGGCCAAGAATGTGGACTGTATCAAGACCCTCATAACTGTGGCACATACAGATGGTA